TTGTCCTTGTCCCAAGGAGCTTGGAACCCTGGCGCAGGAGACATACGGAATCAGGTCATGTCCGTCAGTGCCGCGATGGTGGTAGAACAGGGCCCAGAGGAGGCACCGGAGACCAGGGTTTAGTGACGTCACTGGCAAGCTGCTGGAGAACACGCTCAAGCCTAGAACTGGAGAGGCTCTGCCGGGGTCTGGGGAGGATGCTCAGGATGTGCAGGTCCTCTGGTCTTCCAGGCCGTGTGCAGGAGAAACAGAGCATGTCTCTGACGGCAGCAGGCCTGCCCTGGATGGTCGGTCCCTGTGCCAGTCCAGAGGATGGGTTGGAGGGGTGTAGTGAGGCTCCGATAGGATGATACAGTAGGGCACCGTTGGGGACTACCAGAAGAAGGAAAAGTCAGAGTTTACACTGACTGGATGTGGGACACAGGAGAAGAGAGGGCTCTAAAGATGAGTCTCAGATTTCTGACTCAGTCAGCTGGGGAACCAGCCCGTCACAGAAATAAAGGATAAATAGGGACCATGTCTAGGCTGAATTTATGTTCAGCGTGGGACCTTTCAATTTTGAGTTGCCTGAACATTTTTTAAGTCCTTCTGAAAATGGAGATGTGCAAAGAAGAGGTGTGGAACCTAAATCCTATGCAAGCAGGATTGGTGACTTGTTCTGACCTCTGCCCTGGTCCCTGTTCATAGTGGGCAAGGATGCTTGTGACTCTGCAGCCGTCACCACACGTCACCACAGCCATTGATAACCATTGTACGGCTCTCTTGTCACAGGTTGGGACCAAGCCTAGCAATATGTAGTCCACACCATCAGCTGCTCTTTTTCTGTATAACTGGCTCTAGAGTAGGAAATGGCTTTGATAGTGTGCTGGTAGTAACCCACTCTGAACTTGTCCAGGAACAAATTCCACACTCCTTTGATGCTTACACTCAACTGTTTACCTGTGAGAGAGAGAGAGAGCAATAGCTTCCTTGCATTCTGGCAGGCAGAGCAAGAAGAGCCATATTAATAGGGGGAGGGGTGGAGCTGAGAGCTGAGGAATCGCTGGGTAGTGCATTATTGCCCCTGCCAGCTTTACATGTGTTTTCTTCTTGGCCTGAGAATCACTAGGAGGGGAATCTGTTGGCCAGCACCCTACAAATTAAACTTCTGCCTGTTCTTTATACCTGCAGTCTTCATGGTCCTGCATGTGGCAAAGGTCAGTGCATGCTTTTCAGAGGTCAGAGGAGCTGCTGTGCAGTAAAGAATGAGCTCTCCTGGGGGCCAGTGTCTGTCTCTGCACAGTGGAAGTGCCTCGTGGAACCAAGAGCTATGGGACCAGGCACTTCCAGGGCTGGCCGTGGTTGAGAACCACTGTTTCATCCTATTGTCTTTAAAATGTTATTTGGAAATAATTCCAAAGGCCACAGAAAGTTGGAAGAATAAAAACTGTATGAAAATCCTGTCTTTTATCCAGTTATGCCTGTTGACTTCTGCCCTATTTCATGAGTCATTCCTGTCCTCAAATGTGCTTGTTCACTCCCTCCACAGACACCATGGCCTGTCCCTCAAGTACTTGAACAGGTGTTTCTCCAAAATAGTCTCAGACAGTCAGAATACAGGTGCCAAGTTGGGTACCTTTCACGCTGATGAAATAACCTACCCCTCATACCAGTGTTGGTTCCTCTGAAGGTCCAGAGCAGGTTGGAATCAGCTGTTCCATTCAGCTGTCATTCTGATCTGGAGTAATTCCATAGTTTTGTCTCAAGTGACATTGGCATTATAGAAGACTATAGTCCCTTCAAATGGTGCTGCTCAATGTGAGATTATCTGATGTGCCTCCTGATGATGCTTTTGAATTCCAGGTAAAAAACCGCCCATGTCCCAGGCTCACCCAGGGCATCATAGGAGGGGGGCATGATGTCCACCCACCCCAATTGCTCGTGATGCTCACTGTGAGCCCCTGGTCTGGTAAGGAGATGGTGTGAACAGGAACATTTTAAACCGTTCACTGTAAAGGTGGTTTACCTACTGGGAGGCGTAAAGAGAGTTCTGTAAAACAGCCCAGCAGAAAATAGCTCCCACCCTCAGGACCCTTTGAGAAGGCCTGCAAGGAACTTAGACACCCAGGAGAGGTTCTCCTGAGGCCAAGACTTCTGTGGAGTGGCTGCCACAGGGACAGTGGGGTACCATCCCTGTGGAGAGTGCTGCTGGACCCATGCCAGAAGACCAGTCCTTCCTCCAGCCTTGGCAGCCCCTAAGAGATGCCATCGTCAGCTGTGGAAAAAGTGCCATCTGCCAAGCCCAGGTCAGTGTGACAAGAAGAGGTAGGGCATAAGTGACGTGGGGCACCTGACAAAGTCTTGACCACTTTCTCTAGGATAGAGTTAACCATGTTGTTCCTCCCAACCGAAAAACAATCTCTAGAGAGAGAACTAGCTGCTGATACAAATATCCTCCCCAGATTCAGCAGGTATTTCTGACTTTGGCATGATTCAGATTTGACAGATAATTTGTCAAAGAATGTTTTTTCCGATCTAGGACTCTGATGACCCAGGCAGCCTGCCTCCCTTTCCTGCTGTTTATTTTATGTCTCCCTATGGAGCAGTTCATACTTTATCGTCGTTATCCTTTGGAGGGGACTCAGGATTTGGCTAGCTGGGAGTCTCTTCAAGCTGTCCCAGCATTCAGAAGCACTTCTGTCGTGTCTGAAATGAGGTCCCTGGCTTCTCTGCGATGATAAGTCTGGATGTGACCTGGATGCAGTCACAGGATGGGTGCTTCCCGAGGAGCCCTGGTCCCGCTGCTGCTACTGAGTCATCAGAGCTTCTGTCTTAACATTAAAAAAAAATTAACAGAAGCTTATTGGTACCTTCCAAAAATGTAGTCTGTATATAAAGAACAACGTGCCTCGAGCAGAAGAGGTGTGTCTTTCCAGAAGACAAGCACAGAAGCAGCATGTCCTCTGGAGCAAAGCTTCGCCTTTGGTTTTTGCTCTTACATGAGCTTTGTTCTCTGGAATGTTCCTGTCCTCTCACAGCAGGACATGGTAGTCTTTTTTAGGCCAGACTGGAGAGCTGCCAGGGCTTTATGTTAGCATCATGGATGTCTTAGAACATGGCTAACCACTGTACCGAGTGGGCTGCTTCCAGCTTTGCCGTGGTGAGCACCTCCATCTACAGTCCAGTCACACATTGCTTCTCGACAAGAACGTGTTCTGAGAAACGTGTTGTTCTGAGAGCCATGTTAGTTTCATTGTGCAAACACCTTGAGTGGTTAAGGCAAGTCAGTTCACTGGTGAGGCTCCTGCTGGTGTGACAACATGGGTTTGACTAACCTCACCACGTGGGCCAGGCCGGCCTCAGATGTGATCCTCCCTCCTCGGCTTCCTGAGAGCTGGGATTACAGGTATATTCCACCAGTCCTAGCCACTTGTTTTAATAAATGGAAGGCAATGGATGATTAAAAAAAAAAAATCATGAAGATCAGACCTGATGATACAGTCCTGTAATCCAGCTACTGTGGAATCTGAGGAATTGCAAGTTAAGGGCCTGTCTAGACTACAGAGTAAGAAGGCCAGCCTCTGCAGCTTAGTGAGACCCTGTCTCAGGAAGTAAAAGGAAGGGAACTGGAAAGATGGCTCCTGGCTGAGTTTGAGCGGCTTTTAGGACTCAGTTCTCAGAAGCCACATGAAGCAGCTCATGGCTGCCTATAATGCTAGCTCCTGGGACTCAAGGCCCTCTGGCCCATCTGTGCTCGCATAAGTGAGTGCTTGCTATCTCCCTCACACACAAGTAAAAATAAAATCCTCAAAAACCTTTTTTTTTTTGGAAAGGTGCTTAGACTATACCTCAGTGGTAGGGCACTTACCTAGCATGAACAGTGCCCTGGGTATACCCCAGTACCACACAAAACAGTAGTGACTGCAACGTACAGTGTAATAAATACCAAACCTGTAAGTACAGTGTTTGTCTCTATAAAGTGTGTTCTGTGCAGCAGAAACCACAGAGTGGAAGGACTTGGGACGTCACCAGGTGGTGGGAATGTTTCAGCTCCTTTGTGATCTTGTATTGCCCTCTGTTGACAGAAACCTGTGATATACTGACTGCTGGCAGGCCTTTTGAAGCAACACTCACATGGCATAAAATGGACCAGTTTAAACAAGCCATATGATGCCGTCCAGCCCCCATGAGCCAGTTTGAAAGCCATTTTTATCATCCCCTGTCAGCCTTTTTTTGCATGTAAAGGGTGGGTTTATTCTGTACCCAAAAAGGTCACAGAGTTTTCACAGATGTTTCCCATTGCTTTTCAAAAAAGATTGTACCAATTTATGTTGCCACTGGCCAGGCGTCTGAATGTGTATTTCCCCACACCCTGTTGACCCTCAGGATGTTACCTTCTGTTCTGGTAGGTAAAACTGTGTCTGGCAGTTAGAGCCAGTCCCGGGATCTTTTAAAAAGTGGGTAAGCATTTTTATCTACTGAGTTTCCAGCGTCATCCTTTACCTTATTTGACAAGGCTTGTTTTCTGTATGTCTTAACAGCATTTAGGTCACTTTTCTGTGACACCTCTGATTTCCTCTGATACTCTGTGGGTGGTTGCTATGGAGGAGCACCTGGTTTTTTAATGTGTTGGCCCTGTTATCCATTATCCTTGCCAATCTTGAAAATAATTGTGTGTTCTCTGTGGCTTTCTGTTGTGGTTTCTTTGGGGTCTCCTAAAGGTGCTCCAAAAGAACCACTGAGTTTACCCATTTTTTTATTTTATTTTATTTTATTTTATTTTTATTTTTTTTGGTTTTTCGAGACAGGGTTTCTCTGTGTAGCTTTGCGCCTTTCCTGGATCTCGCGCTATAGACCAGGCTGGCCTCGAACTCACAAAGATCCGCCTGCCTCTGCCTCCCAAGTGCTGGGATTAAAGGCGTGCGCCACCACCGCCCGGCTTATTTTTTTTTATTAAGGAATTTTTTTTATTCATTTTACATACCAATCATAGATTCCCATGAGTTTACCCACTTTGAGAGGGGATTAGGGCAGTAGCTCGCTGTGGGGAAGGTGACTCATATCTGCTGAGTGTGCCCAGTAAGGACAGAGATGTGATCATTATAACAGAAGCATCTTTGGGATCTGACACCGAGCGGACACTCAAGGTCGGAGGCAAGTCGATGTGTTACCGTAGAGTATGTTTTTCAAACCTTGAGCAAGAAATATGGCTGATGGGCTCACTGACAAAGGAGTTTCCTGACTCCTGCTACACATCGGAACCACCAGGAGACACGTTGGGAATACAGGCTACACTGTACAGCTCAGGGCTCAGTGGCTCCCTCAGCAGCCTGGATTGAGCAGCATTGGTGGGCCAGTGTGTAAACCTTGAGTGCAGCTGGAGATAGCCTGGGCTTTCTCCTCCTTTGGCCCTGCAGTGGGCTCTGCTTAGACAATTGGAAAGCCCGCCCCTGAGATCCCAACACCTTGAGGCTGCTGAGGGCAGTGAGTCCCCTGTATGTGGTGACCTTTTAGGAGCCACAATGGGAAGTAGCCAGACCATGGCGTAGGTCATGCTGAGCTGGCTTGGTCCAGGAGCAGCTAAGGGGAGTGATTGGAGTTAGGTGCTGGAGTGGTGCTTAAGATGTCTGGTCAAATAGCGAGTTGTTTCTGGTCCCTACTGGGAAGGACTCCGTGGCAACCATGGTTGTCCCAGAGAGCATGTTGAATGAGTTGCTGCTGCCTACAGCCAAGATCCACAGGCTGTAGGCCTGGCTATTAAAAGTGGTAACCTCTTGCTTTTAATTAGCATTTGACTAGAAACTCTTTGAGGTAGCACCTTGCAGCTGCGCCCCTCCTGCTGGTGATGGGTATTCAGAGATAGGAGGCTTGCCTGAGGCTGCCCAAGGGTAGTCAGACCCTATGCTCTTGACACAAGAGGCCCCATTCTCCCTTCTGCTGTCTTTGAGCTGCCCTCTGACAAGGAGAGGCTAGAGTTATTTATGTTCAGTTACCCCAGCTCCTCCTCTGTCTGGCACTGTCTCCCTGTGTAGCTGGTTCCCAGCCAGTGATGTTGTGACCTGACCCACAGGAGAACGGGGAAGCTGACTAGAATTCATCTGGGGACTTATTTCCCCCTGGTATAAATTGAGATCCAAGCGTTGCTTTCCATTTTCTCTGGATGCCTGGCAAGCAGGCTGTTTACCCATCACCCCCTGGGGCCCACTGACACAGCAGTACCTGTCAGGGATGATGATGATAAATATCTAGGCCAAAGGTTTTTAAAAAATCTTTGCAGTGGAATGGGATGATCCATCAGGATGACAAGGTATTTTCAAGGAATAAAGAAAGCTGTAATATGGCTACCCCAGAAGCCAGTTAGCCTGTTTGCTCGCCTGTTCCACGTCCCCTGCTCCACTCCTGGGGAAGACCTGCCCACCTTGAAAGGCTTAGGTCAGAGTTCACATCTCTCTCCCCACCCTTCCGTACACCACCCTATTCTCATCCATCTCTGTGTCCACCAGAGTTCTCTAGGCCACTTTGCAGACCAGCCTTCGTCCTATATGGGACCACCCCCTGACTGCCTTGGACAGAGAAACAGCAGCTGTGTGCCCGTCCGGAAGAGTGAGCTCTGTCAGGGCATCTTGGCAAGCACCAACCCTGTGACTGTCTGGGTTGAGTGAGCTGTGGGAGTCTGGTTGGGCTTGGCGGGGTAGGACAAGGGTGACCAGGGCAGCTTCCTGGTTTTCTGGCCCAAGCAGGTTTGTCATGGCTGAGTCTTCACTTGCTAGCTCTGCTGTCCTTCATGGGAGGAGACCAAGCCCTGAATTAAGTCACTCTCCAAACATCCCTGTGTGTGTATCTGATGTGTCACAGGTGGGTGTGGTGTCTGGTCACCTCAAAGGGTGTTCGTGAGCAAAATAACACTTCCAGAAGGATGTCAGCATCATCTGGTTCTTTCCCATTCTGTCTGCCACATACTCTGCCAAGAAGCAGTGATGGCTGGACCCTCCCCCACCCCCCAAAACAGCCTGTCCTCAGCTCAGAGCCCTGGTTCCAGACAGCTGTTTGGGGGTCTTTGTACCCTGAGATGGAAAAGAGACCACAACCCATAAAAGGCCCAGCCTGTGACGAGGCATCCTTGCTTAAGCCCGCCCACCTTTCCGCTCCATTGAGGAAGACCAGAGGATGGGGGCAGGCACTGGTGGTGAACACTGAGGAGCCCTTTCAACAACTCCCCGCTCCTCCTCTCTGGGCCAGTGTTTGCTCACAGTTTTGCCTCTGGCATCTGACATTTGCCTAGGTACGTAGCTAGGCAGCCAGTGTCCGTGAGTAAGCCACAGGCCCACAGCTGGCTTCTGTGGTGCAGGCTCAGCTCTCACAGAGGGTAGGGCGTGTCAGGGAGGGACACCGAGGGCAGGAGTTTCCTCTGGTAGATGGTGAGGGGGGGCCACTGAGGGCTGTACACCATGAACCTGAGTGTCTTCCCCAGTGAGCTGTCTTCAGGCCACCCACCGGTTATTTCTTGTCCCCAACAGTGTTCTTATTCCCAATGTCCTCTGAGTATGCCGATGCCCTGTGTTTTTCCTAGCTGCTGCCACCTCTCTGAGGTCCCATTCCCCTGCCGCAGGATGCCCGATCTCATTCTGCAGCCCTCCCGAGCCACTCTCCAGCCTCACACACCTGCATCTTCCTGGCTGTCCCAGCGATCAATGAAGCTCTGACAGCCTGGGAGCTTCAGCCACCTGGGTCCAGGCCTCTCCTGTCCCTAGCTGCTGAGACTGAGCACAGCTGAAGACTTGTCTAAGTGGCAGAGCTCTGTTCTCCCAGACTCCGGCTTCTGAATTGAGCCCCTGGACACGGGTAAGAGAGGAGGACCCCAGCAAAGGAAGAATGTGCCCCTTTATTCCTTCTGGAAGAAATTCACTGGGAATAGCCAGCACCCATCCCATCCCTAGGGCAACCAAGCTTGAGTCTGGCCCCACGAGGCCTGGGCAGTGATGAGAACAGTCCCAACCTCACCATCAGGGCAGAGGTGCGTGGGTACTACTGTTCTTTCCTCAGAGCTTCTCCAAATAGGACCCAGGGACAAACCCACGCTGTCCATTCCGTTCCACTGTCCACCAGCCATCCTCTCCTTCCGAGATAACCACCAGAATGTCTCCTGCAGAAATGTCCAGCTCATCGGAATTCTGGGCAAGAAATGGCAAGTGCATGAGATGGGAGGGCCTCCTGGGTGGGCTCTGGTCTGGCACACCCCTTCTTGGCAGCCCATGCATGCTTGTCCCAGGGTATCTAGTCTGCTGACTCATGCTCAGGCCTCCAGGGTAGTTCCTTTGGAGATAGACAGGCTGTGGGGTTCCCCAAGAGACTTGGCCTCCTAACTTGCTCAGGTTGTCATGGAGACCTCCTGTCCTGGGCTTCTCACTGCTCCAACCACTGCAGCATCTCAAAGGCATTTGTCACACCCCAAGGGCAAGCTCTCTTAGACTTCACTACAGAGCCATCTACTGTGGCCTCAGCACCCCAGTACTCTACAGGCCTGTGTCCCTGAAGGTGACCTCAGTTAGTACAGCCCATATCCGGCCTGCCTACACGCGTGGGTATTTGGCTGAAGTTCCTGCCTTCCAGGGCTACACCCCTCGCTTCAGGGCTAGCATTGGACTCCATCTCAGCATAGCTGTTCTGCGGCTGCCCTGATGACCTGAAAATCAGTTCCAGGGCAGCTCAAGGACTCATTTTGGTCATTGCGGCTCTCTGAGGCCACAGCTAGGAAATAACGCCTGACCCCCAATCCATCATCCCCAGCAGCCCTGTGGACTCCACATGTGCAGATTTGCGCAGCTGTCGGCCCAGCAGGTGTTCACTCGACTCTTCCAGTCTCTGGTGCTGGTCTAAATGCCCACACCCCGGGCATGTTCCCACGCACTGGTGCCCTGGAGCCGGAGGGTGAAGGCCTCACCTGTGCCGTGTAGTCGTAGAGCGCCCGGTAGTCCTGGGCTGATGCGGTAAGGTTTCCCTGTGTTGCCTGCACGTCAATGGCTGCATAGACCAACTCGTTCCGATCAGGAGTGGGACCCAGATTCTCCGTGGAAGCTGGGAGCAGGATGAGGCTCAGATTAGCCCCTCTCAGAGGACGGTGCTCCCAGAGACTGCTGGGGTGGGGCTCGATCCTACCTCATCCTCACTCTTGGACCGTATACCCCTTCCCTTTGGGGCATTAGTGCTCCATCTATGCTGTGTAGGAGTCCTCCCCACTGGGGTCTTAGGTGGAAGACATGTCCCCTGTCCCAGGATGCCCTCCCCCTCATTCACCAGCAGGAGGTTGAGAAGACGTGGTCTTGGGACTTCCATGCAGCAGCCCAGAGAACCTGGAGGAAGGGAGGAGAGAGGAGAAGGGCTTTCGTTACCTCACAGGAAACGAAGGGACTGACTGGAATTCTCAGCGCCCCAGGACCTCTGCAGCCTGTGGCCACCGCACAGACCACTGCTGGCCGTCGTCCATCCATTCTGAGCACCCTCCTTCCATACACTTGTGGTCTTCTCGGCACCTGCAGCCATAGGGCCCTACCCCACATGCTCCCCGCCCCCACTCCATGCAGAGGAAGTCTCCCTTCCCTTGGGCCCATGGACACTAGACCGGGTCACCCACAGGGCACAGAACTAGGACTTGGCACCTGACGACAACCAGGCCAGGGAGGTGGCCCTATAAAAGCCTGTGAATTCTCCAGATGTCTGGGCTTTGGGCTGTTTTTAAGCCAGCTGGAGAGGGCCACCACTGCTGCCTGACAGTTAAGACACCACCATCCTGCCTCACGGTAGGGCCAAAGGGACAAGGGACAAGATGAGGTACTTGTCCAGGAGTCCGAATAGTCACTGGTGAGTAATTGTAATGTGAGTGATTAGTACTTGGATCCTCTTGGACCCAGGGCTCCCTGAGGGTAGTTTGATCATAGAATATCTCCGTGGAATACCCTGCACCTGGACAGGGCACCAGACGTACAGGAGCTGTTCAGTCATTCACGGGATGTGGAAGGGTCAAGGGCAGGTGAGGCCAGCCCAGTGTGTCTCACCTCTTTATCACACCGCAGGATGGCTGGACACTGGGGCTGCCAATTAGTGGGGTGACCTCCCGGTCATAGTAGTTCTGATACGGCACCGGAGCTGTAGAGAGCGAATGCATGAGGCCTAGTGCAGCGAGGCAGGCTGGCCCGCACCTGTTCCCTCTGTAACCCTGGCTGTCCTGGGACTCTGTGTAAACCAGGTTGGCCTCACAGTCACAGAGATCCACTGGCTGCTGCCCAGATGTTTGTTAGTTTGAATTACGTATAGATGTGTATGTGTTCATGTGGAAGCCAGAGGCTTTCGATTTCCTGGAGCTGGAGTTAGTTGTGAGCTGCCTGATGTGGGTACTGGGAACTGAATGGCTTCCCTTGAAGAGCAGCAAATGCTCTTAACCACTGAGCCATCTCTCCAGCCCAGAATGGGTATTCTGGATACATGATTTTATGCAACTGGACAGGCCCGGCATTAGTGCAGACCACTCTACTGTGGCCTACATAAAATTTCCCATCCCCCTCTCCTGCTCCTGAGAACACTGGTGCACTCAGCTCTCTTCCTTCTAAACCTTTAGGGAAGAGAGCTAAGGGCCTAGTCCCAGAATGTGCTGTCCCCCAGCCTGTGTGTGGCCTACCTCTACCCAGTAGGGAAGTGTGAGCCACCCCAGCCTGAGCTTGGCATCCAAGGCTCCAAAAAGCCTGGGCCAAGTCTAGAGCCAGCCGGGCCTGACTCTGGAAACTGAGCTGCCCTCAGGCTGGGTCTTACCTGGGGGCTCTCTGCCAGTGCTCTTAGACTGGATGAAGCCATTGATGTCGCCGTCCACATTACAGCCTTCAAGTGTCAACCGTACTTCTTCGTAGAGCTGGGGGCCGGGAATGGACAAAGGTGTCCAGGGTTCCCCCCCGATATCTGCCCTTGCCATAATCACCCTGATAATCTAGCCTTACTATAGATAGTCCTGCCTCTGAGTCTGAACATTCCAGCTTCGGTGCTGGCCAGAGGGACCGTGGGATGTCTGGCCTGCCAGAGGGCTTACAGACCTGGCTGATGTTCAGAAGTTTCCTGAACACCTGAGCTCAGAGCCCTGACAAGAGGCCCCTGATCACTCCTTTCCTCTAAGGCCCGTGGTTTAACTTGTTTTAAGATGAAGGAACTCAAAAAAAAAAAAAAAAAGTGGCATGCGAAGGTCACTCTGGGCTTTGAGTCCGTGGGTATCTAGAGCATGGCCACACCTTCTGCTGCCACAAGGATCATGGGCAGGATCCACAAGGAGCCCATGGGCAGGAGTGGTCAGAGCTGCACGGGTCCCTGGTGTAGGTGGTAGCCCCTGACCTGGGGTAGGATGTACCCTGGCCTGCCCTGAGTGTTGGGCTCTGTAAGGTGACGGAGCCCCTGAGAGCGGTATGGGGAAGCAGTGTAAGAGAACCTAGACCAGGTTCCCACAAGCCTGGAGCTGAGCCTCTCCAGCCCGCAGCATGTCTCTGCTCTGTTGGGGAGAGTAGGACACAGCCTTGAAGGGACAGGCGCCCTGAGTGTCGGAGCACGATGTTCCTGAGGCCTTGTCAGCCTCGTGTGTGAACTAAAGTCTGGGGAGATGCTGCTGGCCCCGGAGACCTGAGCTCACCAACGTACCGTCTCCTCACAGCACACACCTCATCATCCTTGACGCACTGCATGGAGAGCTGGTTGCAGTGCACCCACAGAGCGTTGCGGAGGATGGTCAGTCGGTCAAACTCCTGCAGCTGGAAGGCCTGTGGGGGAGGCAGGAGGACGGTGGGGCCAGACCAGGTGACCAGTGCAGACCACTCTGCTGCAGCCCTGGAGGTCCCCACCCCGGCCTCTAGCGAGGGCAGCTGCAGGGAGGTTGGGCTGTTAGGAATGCCTGTTGGCTGCATCTCCAGCAAGTCCCCTGTCCTAGAAGGGAGGCTAGTGAGAGGCATGGGACTCTGTCCTGGTTCTGTCCATCAATAGGTCACAGGTCAAAGCTCCGTTTGGGCTTTATGAAGAATATATCCCTGCAGCAAAGGAATCCAGGGCATAAGGCCAGATAGGAAGTACTGGGGCCAGACCCTAGGCACCAGCCAAGCAGGTGACTTAGAAGTGGATTGAAGGAGTCCCATCCCCCAGCCCCAGCTTCCCACAGGTAGAGCAGGGGGGGGGGGGTTGTATGTGGAGGAGCAGGCCACTTGCCTCACAGGTGGTCCGGTGTTCCTGCTCCCATTCGGTCCTTGCTCTCTCCAGCTGTTCAATATTTTGCCTGTACACTCGCTCTGCAAGCACAGGGACCCTTAGGCAGGCCTGGTAGCCTGGACTTCCCCTGAAAGTTCCATGACAGGATCTCTTCTGTCCTTCACTCCTGCAGAGACCTACCCAGCACGACCTCCCCCAAGTCCTGGGAGCCCCCTCCCCAAGGGGCCTGGCTAGCTGCTGGCCAACGCACACAGCTGCCATATTGCCCTTTCCCGGGTGACTCTCCACTTCACTGTGCTCTGAGTGCCAAAGGCCGGAGCAGAGCTCTATGAGCAGAAGTTCTGCTCCATTTCCTGTGTCCCCTCCCCTCACTTTACAGATGGTAAACTGAGGCTCAAGGAGGGTGCCTCTGCAAGCTGTTGTACTACAATCCAGCAAGCTGGAGTCATGATCCGGTCACCTGGCACCTGCTGAGAGAGCAGCAGGTGTTGGAGAGATGGTGCAGAAGGATCTGCCCCTGGGATGGGAGGCCAGGGAGCAAATGCTGCCGTCAGGTAAAGGATGGGAGCCAGGTCCCAGGAAGGCTGAAGGTGAGCATTTGTCACTGAGTGAGAGATACAGGGTTATCACCCTGTGGATCCCAGGCCCTGGAACCCAATGACTTGGATTCAAATGCTAACCACCACTCAGTGGCTGCGTGACATCTTTGCTTCTGTATGTTAAGAACAAGCAGTCATCATGACTGCAGGCAGTCGCTGAGGAAGAAACATGCAGAGTGATGAGGAATAGTGTCTGTACCAGTGGCGCACAGGGGACACAGGCATGTGGGAGAGCGCCAGCTGAGGGAAGAGGAGTGGCCAGGGCCTCCTACCTGCCTCTGTGGCGGACTCTTTGCACTGCTTGGCTTTATTCTGGCTCTGAGGAAAAAGCAGAGTGGCATTGAGTCCCAGCCCAGGAATCCTGGCCCTGAAGCTACACAGAAGTGATGGGCTCCCTTCCTGGTAAATCCAGGCACATCAAGGTGTGGGTGGGTGAATTCTACCATTCACCAGCAGCCTTGCTGCGGAGGGGACCAGGCTGGTTCCATGAAAGGAAAATAAAAGCAGAAACCTGCAGCCACCAGGAACATGAGAAATGCAAATGCTGAGACCCTTGTGGCCTTCACTGTATTGCTGCTCAGAACCTGGGCTCTGGCCAACCTGGATTCAACTCACCCACAACCCCCTGCTCTGTCTGGGCTCAGCTTTCTGGGCTGTGCAACAGGTGGTGAGTGGCCCTGATAACTCACCCACTCCTACCCTGTCTGGAGGTTGCCTGTGCTACAGAGGACCTGTGCTTAAGCATGGTTCTTGAGGACACCCATCGCACAGAGTGGACACTGAGAATTGGAAAGGGGTAAGCAGCTAGCATGTCCCAGATGCAAATCCAGCCCAGGGATGGCAGCCCTTCCCTGCCTACCAACTCTACCCTGCTTTGGGTGCCTGGACATGCATCATCTCCACCCCCCCCAACCCCAGTACCCTACATACCTTCTCTACTTGCTTCTGGTGGCCATTGGCACTCACACGCTCAAAGGCCTGTTCAGCATCATCTGCATCCCGGCACTTCTGGTCATATACCTTCTTTGACTGAAGGGGCAGAGAGGTGTGTCTGTAGGGCTGCATGCCCTACTTGGACCCCAGGATGAGGTTCCCTAAGCTCAGATTCCCTCCCTTTGGGGGGCTTTGGTGGAATAGGCATCCCTCCCATGGAGGCTTTGGGCCCCATCTTCTGGGTCCTTACACCTGCCCTCTCAGATGTCCAAGGTCTGAGGCAAGCCTTGTCCCAGAGCCCTCCCGTTTACCTCCATGGTCTTCTTGTAGAGTGACAGCTTGCTCTTCTGGACACGGTCCATGACAGCCTCATACTGCAGGAGACATGAGGCTCTGAGCTGGGGGCTCTGGTCTCAAGGCGCTCCCCTAGGCCAAGAGGATGGGTTGTCCTTGTCCCTGGGACATAACACCTCTACATCATGTTCATGTGTGCATGTGTGTCAGTGTTCAGTCTCCCCTGGAGTTATCTTCTTCAAAGCAATACCTTTAATCCCAGCGTTTGGGAGGCAGAGCCTAGAGCAGCTCTAGGAGTGTGAGGCCAGTCTGGTTTATATAGCCGGCTTCAGACCAGCCAAGGTTATATCGTGAGACCCTGTCTCCAACAAGCAAGGACACAATACCTACCCTCCACAGAACGACAGAGAAGCTTAGGCTGTGGGTATGCCTACTGCTTCCTTACCGTGGACCTCAGCCTGACTTGGTCACAGCCAGGGAGAGCGTCCTCACTTCCACATCCATGAGACCTGAGTCTTTCATTCACAAGACACCGAGTGGACACTGGCATACACATGCATACCCAGTCCATCCTCAGCCCCCATCTCCCAACGGCTCACACTGCACACCCACAGGCCACTTGTGCATACACAACACACTCCAGTATTCACCCATTCATGACCCTAGGCTGAACATCCATGTATGCATGCACACGCATAGCCACACCACAGGCCCAGCACAACACCCACCCTGGGCTTCTTGGATGGAGTGGAACAGCCAGGAGAGAGGCTGAGAGTCAGGAGGATTATAAGGAAAATGCCTTTGGCTAATAGGATTGGAGCCAGTTTGTGCCCTGCGGTCCTGGGGAGGCTCTGACCAGCCACCGGGTTACAGAAGCAACAACAGTCACAGGAACCTGCATGTGCACCTGGCCAGCCAAGGCCACCATGTGTCCCTCTCCTCACAGAGGGTGTATATAGACCCAGTCAGGCTTACCACATGACCGCACTGGGTCACAAAGCTCACAGCAGCCCAACCAGGTCTCTCCTGTCACAGCAGGTTTTCCAGATGCTGTGACAAGCCTCTGATCGAAGGGGTCACCTGTTCAAACACTCAAGTCCAGGGAGTTTCTGGAGATAGCTCAGGAGAGCCTGTTTAGATTCCTGGAAGACTGAGGCTGTCCAGATGGGCAGACAGGGTGTGGTAGTTTGAGTGTAATCGGGCCTCGTAATATCTCACAGGGAGCGGCACGGTTAGGTGTGGCTTTGTTGGAGTGGGTATGGCCTTGTGTGTCACTGTGGGGGTGGGAGTGGACTTTGAAGTTTCCTATGCTCAAGATACTGCCCAGTGTCTCAGTCAGCTTCCTGCGGCCTACATATCAAGGTGTAACCAACCAGCACCACATCTGTGTGCACGCTGCCATGCTCCCCACCATGGTGATGGACTGAACCTCTGAAACTATAAGTGAATCACCCCAATTAAATGTTTTTTTTGTAAGAGTTGCCATGTCACGGTGTCTCTTCACAGCAATAGAAACCCTAACTAAGACAGGGTGTACAATCAACTAAGTTTCTACCTTAGAGCCCTGATTGTGAGGGGTCAAGTTCCCAAGGCAAAAGATGCAAGAGTGTCTCGTACAAGAGAGAAACTAAGGCACGGGAAGGGGAAGGACCTTTCCTGGATCTCCAGGTGCTGCCTGGGCCCCAGCTCTGAAATACAGCCCCTACCCTCCAGGGGGGCCAAGGTGTTCAGCCAATCAGAGCCACAGGCTTGGGAGAGGCGTTCCCTACCGCAGCCTTGCAGCCTCCCTGGGAAGCATCCCCAAGCTTACACACTGCTTACACACACACTGCCCCGCACCTGTGCTTACACACTGCCCCTGGCCGTGCTTACACACACGCTGCCCCGGGCCCGTGCTTACACACTCACTGCCCTGGATAAGGCACTCACTTGCTTTCAGTGTAACCACCCCTTGTGGGGCCAGCCATGCCCTGCACCTTGACAAGAGTGAGCGCCTTCAGATGAGCTGAGCCCGAAGCCTGGACTGCACCCCTGGAGCAGCGTCTTCCCCCTCCCTGTTGAGCAGCCCTGGCCCCCAAGTCTGCCTGTTTTCAGAACCTGCAGCACTAATCCTTCTGTTCAGGACCAGCTCCCAGGGGCCACTCAACTCCAGTGGGCTCCTCTGGATGCCTGACGCTGTCGCTCTGCAGTCTGTGAAGTGGGGTGGTCAAGCACCTTTTCCTCTTCCTGGCACGGGGCACCCTGGCCCAGAGCTAAGCCTTTATATAAACCGTGTTGTGGTTGGTCTCTATTATCAACTTGACACCCCTAGGAAGACAGAGACCCTGGACTGAGGAATTGCTTCCACTGGGCGTGTCTGTCTGGAGGGCATTTTCGTGATTGTTAGTTAATAGGAGGGCCCAGCCCACTGTCGGTGGTACTATCCCTAGGCAGGTGGGCCCGGGCTGTGTAAGAAATGTATCTGAATATGGACCTGGAAGCAAAGCCAGTAAGCCTTCCTTGTGGTCTCTGCTTCAGTTCCTGCCCCAATTGCCCTTAGTGATGGATTGTGACCTGGGAAATGTAAGCCAAATAAACCTTTCTTCCCATTTTATCACAGCAACAGGAAAGCAAACTAGAACATGCGCCTTCTCTCTTCCGTCAAGCCGTACTTCCCAACTGGCCCCCAGAACGGGGGGTGACCTCAGCCACTGTCCCCTCCTTGGTCCCCTGCCCCCCCATCCCTCCTCACCTTCTTCCGCTGCTCTTTCTGCCTCTCACGGAACTCCTCCAGACTCCGCAGCTCCTCACGCAGGGCCAGGGCCAGCTGGATGTGTGCACTGCCCACGTTCTCTGTCTCTAGGGTGACAGTATGGCACCCTCACACTTCACCTCCCACCCCTCCCATCTTCGATATAAAGCTGGGCCCCAGCCCAGGTGTACAGCCCAGTCACTCCTGTGAGAGCTGCACCCTATGGCCCTGCTGCCCGCGTGGGGATGGTTGGAACTTACGCTGCTTCAGGGAGTCAAAGGAGGTCCTCAGGGAACTGCAAAACAGAAGTCCAGGTCAGCAGGCCGGTATGCAAGTCCTGCAGTCCTGCCTGGCCCATGGTACTTTCATTTTGGAGAGAGGGTCCTAAGCCATATGCATTGCCTCTGAATGCAAGGGACTCTTTGGTCATTGTTATTGTGAACCCCAAACTGGCATTCTAGAAAACAAAGTTTCCTTTGTAAATTACAAAGCAATCAAACCTTCTTGCTATAGCAGGAAAGGAAGTCATCCACCCTCCACTCCCCGCTTGCATGCCTAAAGAAGAGGGGTGGGTCCTCCGGAAGCTCCCTTCCCTCTCTGAGACCTCCCATCCGGGGCAGGCACCTAGCGCTTCTGTACCCATACTGCCAGGAAGAGTCTGAAGCAGAGGAAGGGACTGGACAGCAGATGGCCTGGAAGGCTATGGAGAGGGTAGGCAGGGTCACAGGGCGGGAGAGCTATGGCAGCAGGCTGCCCCTTGGTGCCCTCCCAAGGGGAAGGAAGGGAAGAGGCAGCATAGGACACAGAAGCCCAGACACAGGCAGGAGTGGGGCACATGGAAGCACCTGAGGGTGTGGGGGAGTGGCACAGCCTGGAGTCCTAGCGCTCAGGCAACAGAGGCAGACAGGCCACAAGTTCAAGGCCATCCTGAGCTACTCAATAAGCCTCTGTCTCAAACGCCCCCACCCCCTTTCCCAGAGATCTCCACTGGGCTCAAGTTTACTTGAACCTTATTTTAAAATTGCTTTCTGAGTGTGAACATGCCCTGAATAACAAACGATCGACACGACTAAAGAGCCCTCACCGCATGCTGGGAAGCGGCAGAATCAAATGCCCTGTATTCTGTCTGGCCGCCTTGTTTGCCGTAGGTGGTGCTAAGGGCCGAGCTGAGGTGCCAGCACTCCCACCCCAGGGCACACTGCTGTTTAGCAGTGTATAGGAGTCATGGGAACCACGGGAGAGAGTCTGAGCTCTCGGGAGCAGGGCCTTTGAGGGGCATGAGCTTTGCTCAAAGGATGGTGTAGAAATCCAGGGCGGCCTCCTACGGTGAGTTTCCATACACGACAGCAGTAGATGCTGGAGCCAGGTGACCAGGCTCTGCCACTCACTCACCGTGTGACCCCAGGCAAGCCTCCTGGCCCTCAACTTCCCTTCCCTTCTAAGAGAGCAGCTAGCAGCACAAAATGGCTGAGAATGTGAGTCCAGTGTAAGGTACCATCGAGGCCTGAAGCAAGGTAGGAGCTTTACATGCCCGTCATGCCCATACGTACGCAAACTCTGCCAGTCCCGGGGCACCCTCCAGGCACCAGCAGCCCACCTGGTCTTTCCCCCAACCCCAAACTGCCCCTTCTAAGAGTTTTCCAGTGGCCCGCCCCTTCGCAGAAGCTGCTCCCTTGACCGCAGGTAGGAGTCTCTTGCCTGGCTACCCCAGCTTGAGTCCTTTCCCACACATCAGGCCATGAGTGGTAAGGCAGGTCTGTACCTCTGTGCTCCCAGCTTGGGCTTAGGAGTGCTGAGTCTCTTAAGGAACCCAAAACAAGTGCATGGTGGTGCAGCTTGCCCCAAGGTCTTTAGACACCATCTGTAGGCCCTACCTAGCTAAGGAAATAAAAATGCCACGGCTTCCTTCTCACCAGGATGCCTGAGGAACTAATCAGTTGGTCTGGTGTGGAAACTGAGGCCAGAGCATGGCAGTGAGCTCGCTAGAATCAGTCAGCAGCCAAGTTGCAGTCTTTCACGGCCTCTCTGCAGCGCGCTCTCCCGCCCCCTGGTGGTGAAATTGTCATATGACATCCATCGCATAACCAATTCCCCAGGTGTCCTTTCATGGAAGCCCACCTGCCTGTGCCTTGGGGTAGAACAAATCCATTCTGCAGAGTTTCCTCTTGTCCTTAGACAGTTGGGGAAACTGAGATCAAGGAGGAGTGGCAACCTGACAGGACCCTGGGGATCCAGGCCTGAAGGAGGATTATGGGGTCCTAGTTACCGCCAGGCCCTGAATGACAAAGCCACAAAACAGCCCCAGCAGCCTGGGAGCCATCAGACAGATGTGCAGGCCTCTGCCCGTGACCTGACCACTGGCCACTCACTCTGTACCTTCTTCCAGGGGCTGCCAACACACTCAGTATAAGAGTGGCTGGCCAGCCTCAAACCCACAAGCCAAGATACCTTGATTATTGCCCTTTACAGATAAGGAAACTGAGTCAAGGAGGCAAAAAGTGACTCCATGCAGTTGGTAAGAAGCAAAATGGCAAGGCCAAGGGCTGGAGCGATGGCTCAGATTAAGAGCACATTCTGCTCGTGCAGAGGACCCAAGCTTGATTCCCAGCACCGGCTTCAGACAGCTCACAACCCTGTGACTCCAGGAGACCGGACACCCCTGGCCTCCATGGGCACCTGCACAGATCCACACAGACATACTGACAGACACATTTTTAACAAAGCTTAAAATAAAATGTCAAAGTCAGTCCTTCCACTTTGCAGAGGAAGAAGGGGATGTCTGCTGTGGTGACCCCGCTTTCTCTTGATAGGGGTTAGAATGATTCTGGCTTTTGTCAGCTACTGCCCATGTCCACACATGCAGTTCCTGTTGGCCTTTTGGCTTGGCTCTCAGAAGACTCAGAAAATCTATGCTTGAGTCTAGTTTCACAGGATAAGTGTTCCCCTCACAGAACGTCTCCCTGTCTTAGCATCCCCAACCCTTGGCCACCTGCCAGCCAGGAAGCTAATTATCTCCCGGCTGGAAGCAGGCCTTGCGCCTACAGGGAGCTAGCTGGTTGGGAACAGGGTTTCCACCCTCCTCGATGACATCTTCACTTTGAGCTCAGTGGAGCAGAGATCATAAAACACACACAAAAAAACCCTGGCAGGAGAATCTCAGCACTCAGGTTTGTGAGGGGTGAAGGTGAGGTGGGCCTTAGGGCCTGGGCTATCATTGCTCATCTGTAACCACAGAGGGGTTCACAGGACACTGGCCTAGCTCCACTCCACCCTCTGAGGTGACCCTCCTGGGGCAGCAAGAGGAAGAGACCACTTCCTGGGCAAGGAGGGGGTTTGGGCAGACCCAGAGGACCCAAAAGGGATAGGTAGAGAGGAAGAAAAGGTGATAGCGGCTGGTGAACCAAGCCAAACCTTCTGCAAGGCTGGCCATGGGGTGTGGACAGTGACAGTAAACCCCCGCAATACCTAGCCTGTCCCTAACATGCAGGGCCTCAGGCCGGTTCACTGGTGTACCATGTGAATGAGGTGTGAAAAAACTCATTTTAAGGTGTGACTAAAACTTCCTTTCATCTTTGTGGCCTGAGCCCCTGGTTCTGTGAGACTCAAGCTAGTGTGAGGCCAGGACCCCAGGCAGGAACGCTGGTTTTGGGGGACTGCAGATGTGGAGGCACCAGTACAGTTCTCTTAGTGTGGGCTATTTATGAAGTTACTTCACCCTCAGGCCTGTCTTTCCGTCTGCTCCACTCTGCTCCCCGGTGTTGTAGGCAGAGGGGACTGGGTGTTGGAAGATGGCCACCAGCCAGACTCTTCCTAAGGACCGCCACTTCCCAGGCTGGAGAGACGGCTCAGTGCCTAAGAGCACAGGCTACTCTCCAGAGGTCCTTCCTGAGGTCAGTGCCTAAGAGCACAGGCTACTCTCCAGAGGTCCTTCCTGAGGTCAGTGCCTAAGAGCACAGGCTACTCTCCAGAGGTCCTTCCTGAGGTCAGTTCCCGGCAACCACATGGTGGCTTGCAATGATCTACAGTAGGATCTCACATAAAGTTATACATGCAGATAGAGCACTCATATACATAAAATAAATAAATAAACATTTTAAAAAAAGAAAGGACCAACACTTTCGACCCGCAAGTGTCTGTAACAAACACTGTGGACCCACTCACATTCCCTGCTGAAGGACAGACAGGGGAGGGCCACAAGTAGGTAACAAGGTAATAAGGACGACACAGGGCTTTGTTGTCCCAAGTGTACCCCCCAACCCCTGCTAGCAGACCAGTCAATAAGTTCAAAGCTGGATCAGGACATGCTGTGGTCCAATCAGACCAGTCAATAAGTTCAAAGCTGCATCAGGACATGTTGTGGTCCGATCAGCCATCCCTTTGTTTAAACTGACCCCTCTACACACACACACACACAAGGCCCCTAGCCTGGCAAGAGCCTGGGCTTAGGGGTCCTGAGTCCTCCTCTGTGTTGCAGGGTTCTTTCTGTTTGCCTGGCTATGTGTACTTTTGCTTGTTTGCTTTTCGAGACAGGGTTTCTCTGTGTAGCCTTGGCTGTCCTGGAACTCACTCTGTAGACCAGGTTGGCCTCGAACCCAGTGCCGGGATTAAAGGCATGTGCCACCATCTCCTGGCTACTGGTGTGTACTTCTTAACAAAAGCCTTCCTGCAGCAGTTGATCCTGTCTGCCATGTCTGAGATTTTTACATGTTGTGTTCCAGATTCTTCCTTCCCTTTAAATCCTGGAGTGCAGAGAAACAAACCCGATCTAGACGCCTAAGACTAGCAACACCATCAGGAGCCCTCCGGGTTGGAATGGAGGAGATGGCCCTGTCTGAGCCAAGCTCTTGACAGTGAGGCAATCCGGAGGTCCTCTTGGAGGAGGTGCCTGTGGGGAGGGTCTGCTGCAAAGTGCTGAAGAAGAGGAGATCATCTCAGGTGGTTGAGTTTTTGAATGTCCTTGGCAGTCTGGGCCAGGACACACAGCAGAAACAGATAAATGCTCACTGAGGGCATGGGCAGATGGCAGACACTTGGTCCACAGTTAAATAAGCAGTGTCACATGGGACAGCGACATCACTTCCTGAATGCCCCCATGTGTGGGGATCAGCAGGACCTGCAGGCGTCAAGGTCTGCGGGAGGGGTAGGCTCCACCCCACCGTGCAAGGGCTCTCTGTGTGCCGGGTATTGTCACATCTTTGAGCCTTTGTCCACAAGTAGTCAAGATGAGAATGCCCTCTCCTCCTGGAGGGGGTCCCGGTCAGCCTCTCTCCTGCCCCAACCTTGGTCTGCTCTGGTCACTTTCTTATCTGGCTAGCGCCCCCTGTGGGTTTGCTTGCCCCTGGGGTACCCCCAGGAGCCTGGTTCCTAGATCACTACGCAGCTTCCCTCATGGTCTCTGCACTGGACTAAGGGACCAGCCTGAAGAAAATGGCTTAGGAAGCCCAGCCGGCCCTTGGAATGCCCAGGTAAGCAGTACTGAGTTCACCTGGAGTGGCACATGCGTGGGGCAGGCGAGTGGACAGATACCCCACTGCTCACTGAGTGCATCTGCAAGCTCTCCACTTTCACAGACAGGGACTTGGGATTCAGACAGGGAGTGACTATTCTGGGGTCATACACAACCAAGGCAGGCACACACCGTCCCTCTAGCCTTCTCTAAGCAAGAAGCAAGCCTCACCCAGAGCCCCAACCCCCACAACCGTTCTTCTCCAGTGGGCCCCGCCCCCCTTTCACAAGATGCCTAGCTCAAACCCGCATCAAGCTGTCAGATGGTGGCATCTCCCACTCCGCTGACAGCCACGGGTGACTCATAGCCCACTGAGCATGCCTCATACAGACCCGCAGAGAGCTTCACAGACAGGAATAGGGCCTGTCACCTGCCGCGAAGGTGAGACGCACTGGTGGGTGTCATGTACCCTGTTCTTCCCAGAGTACAAACCAGTACAAGACCCTGACCTCGGAATGCCCGGTGACAGGCACCACAGAGTCCAGATGCCGCTGACCAGTTCCTGCCTAGTTTACCCTACATCAGTAGAGCCCCAAGTCCTGAGTAAAGTCCCCAGGGTTCCTCAGAGGAGCAGTGGGAGCCACCGGCACTCTTACTTGATCTCTGTCTGGCCCCCGGCCTTGCGCGCAATCTGCACCAGCTCCTTTCCGTACCTCTCCTCCGCCTGGGCCCTGCAAGGACAGAGCAAGCCCCGTGTCTCTTCCGTCACTGCCAGCTCCCTGTGACCCCCACATAGGCGTAGGACCTGAATTCTCCCATCATACTTTGCTGGCAAGATGGCTACTGAAAAAGTTGAGCCCCGTCTCCTTCTGAGGATAAATGTCAGTTGAAAACAGGCCTGTCCTAAGGGGCTGCTGCGTGATATGGCACTCGGAGGAAGCCCAGGCCTAGGGGCCACAGGAGACAACAGACAGCTCTGGCTTGTGTGTGTGAGTGTGTATGTGTGTGTGCATGGGTGTGTGCATGTGAGTGTGCATGAGTGCAGGTGCATAGGGATCACAATGTACCTGTAGAGGTCAAAGGACAGCTTCCCCACCTCCCCCACCCCCTTTCATATATGAGTATAGTACATTCTGCAGAGACTCCAGGGTAGCTGGCCCATGAGATTCTGGGATTCTGTCACTGCATCCCCTCTTGCTATAGGAGGGGATTTGAACTCAGGGCCCCATGCTCGTTTAGCAAGTGATTTACCCACTGAGTCATCTCCTCAGTTTTAGCTCTTGGCTCTGGAAAAGCAGACCCAATACTGATATCAGCTAGGTTCTAGGGGGCGTAACCACGTCCCTCCCCATCTGCCCTGACCCCGCCGACCCCGCCCTGCTTACCTCTGCCTGAGCAGCTCCTCCACATCCTTGCACATCTTCCTGCCATCCAGCAGCCTCTGCAGCAGTACCTCATATCCCGTGTGGGCCGTGAAGTCCCTGCACTGTAACATAGGACATTCATGAGAACCCCAGTAGGGCAGCAGGGAGCCTGCCGACCACCTCCCGAACATAGCCTCTCTCTGGCCTCCATGTCCCTGGTTAGGGCCCAGCCTCATGCTGGCACACAGCACCACCCCATATATGGAAGTTCCAGAACCACAGCTGTCCAGGCTGCTGAGCTTGGCCTCGGGCCTCAAGAGTCTGACACGTTAGCATCAACCCAAGACAGTGGATGGAAGGGAAGGGCCCCCACTGAGGCTCCGTGATGACACCCAGACCCCAGATTCTTCCTCATTAAATGCCTGGTGTGGCCCATGCCCTTATGGCCTCGCAACTTCAGCTAAGCAAGGAAGCATGTTGAGGAGGCAGATCTGGTGGCTGGTCATAGACCACCAGCTACTGGGCTCAAGTTCAGCTGCATCCCCGACTGTAACTCATCTCTTAACTAGGGTCAAAGGCATCTGGGAATTCTGGGAGGCAGCTAACCTTGTACCTAGGCCTTGCCAAGCCAGTCCAGATGACCCCTGACCAACGTGACTCCCACGTCTCCCACTAGAGGGTTCTGAGCATGTCTGAGCCACCAGCATGGGCAACAAGAGAGCAGAAGAAGTAGAGTTCAAGGACTACAAGAAGTTCCTGCAACACCCCACACCCAGGCCTCTCACCTGTAGCTCTCCTGGTTCCTGTGTGGCTGACTACAGATGGTAGGGCATGGATCCTGGAGGAAAGGGGGGCATCTGTCTCCCTCACTGGGGTCTCATCAACCCGCCATCCTTGGGTATTGGGACAGGAGATTTGGCGCCTACCCTGGGTGTCTTCCTTCTTCCCTCAGACCCTTTCAAAGCCCCACTGACTGAAAGGGACCCCAACTTCCCTGAACACGCCCCCCAAGACCACTCACAGAGCCTGTCAGAGGTCAATGAGTCTCTCTATGGGTTGGTTATACTTAACCTGACTCCTTCCCATGCCTCAGGCCTCCCTTCAAGTTCTGAGAGTGTGGTGAGCATGGATGGGGTTGAAAATCAAGAAAAGAGCTAAGGGCATGGCTCAGGAATACAGTAATTGCCTAGAAACCCTGGGTTACATCTCCAGAAAGCGTCCTTCAGGGGCATTTGGTGTGCTTCAAGATCTACAGAGAATCAGATATTGGGGAAGAGTACAGGGGGCATAAATGCTGCCCCCCACCCCCGTGCACATTCAGCCAACTGCAAGTGTTGAATCTTTCTCAGATTTCAGCCCCTAAGCTCATATCCCTTTCTCTGAGCAGCCTTGCAGGGCCAGGTCCAGCGTCAGCTGCCCAGCGGCCACTGAGCTGTGGATCTAGTCCTTAGCTGACTGTCTGAGACCCCAGCCTGAGACAGCTGCCCCTGCAGCCTGCTGCAGGCCCATTGGGGCAGGCATTCCCCACCCCACCCCCCCTCCGCTGCCGCCACGTCCAAGCTGCACCATCCTGAGGCAGGTTCCTATCTTTTAATGTCTTTTAAGGGGAGCTACTTTTTCATGAATTTAGAGCACAACTTCCCACTCTTGGCCTCTGCCCTCCCTGGGGACACCCAGGTCAAAGCCTGTAGCAGCATGGGGGAAATAGTGAGTCAGAAGTCACAGATCTAACCCCCTCTTCTCTGTGGGGGTCACTGAGCTGATGTTAGCATTCAGGCCACAAAACCACAGACCCCTCAGCGCTTAAGAAACTGAGCCCCGGAGAAGGGAAGGGCCTGCCTGGGGCTATATTACAAACTAGAACCTAGCCCTTTAGCGCCCTGTTTCTCCACTGTGCCTCTGAGGAAGATTTGATGGAAGGGCTAATGGTCTATGTCTCCTCTCCTGCTGCCTGGACGCTCTTTCTGTCCTGAGTCCCAGCGTAGAAAAGGAAAACCCACCAGACTCACATGGGCCATGCTGGAGGACATGAAAGGGAGCATGGGCCTCTAGCCCAGGTCTTCAGGAACGCGTCTCCACAGCACCTGCCGCAGCAGGCTGGAGACTCCCATGCAGCCCCTGGACGGTGCAGTGGCATCAGGCAGAATGAGCCACAGTCACAAGTGACCCAGCTGTTCTAAGGAAGTGCCGAGCCCCTCAGGCTGCCTGCCCTGCCTTCCTTCCCTGCCCCCTTATTCCCCTCCTGCTCCACCCCCACACCCGCACCTTCCTTGCAGATTCACTGCTCAGAGTACTGCCGAAGAAAGAAGGGAGGGATTGCAGAAAGGAACCTCTCAATCACAAGTCCACCATCTATCCAAAGCAGACTCACCCAGGGCTGCCTTTCCTTCCCTCCGCCTCCCTCATACCCTCCCATCCACCCTTAGCCTATCAACCAAATCCCGACCATGACCTTACTTTAAAGCATGAAAATGGAGCCCTGCCTGGGGCATGAGAGATGGCTCAGAGGTTAAGAGCACTTACTACTCCCACAGAGGACCAAGTTGAGTGCCCAACACCCACGTCAGGTGGCTCACAACCTCCTGCAACTTCAGCTCCAGGGGATCTGACACCCTCTTTCAGCTTCTGCAAGCACCCACATGTACATGTGCACATACATATAAATAATGAGACAAATCTCTTAAGAAAATGAAGCCCTTCCTTGATCCACTACAACCTGCCAGGCATTTGCCGGAGAAGGGCTTTGCCGCTGTGAATGGGGATCTTCTGAGCCCTGGGCAGCACTCCAGGACCTGAGTCATTCCCAGGAGACAGCCCTCCAGAGGCCATGACCTCACCTTCCGAGACGCCATGGAGGCCAGCCTGACTTTGATTATCCGCAGCCGGCCAGCACTGAGGCCTCGCAACATTTACCCTCACCCGCTCTTTGTACCATTCCCTGCGAAGGTCCCTGCTCTGGCTGAGCCTTCGTGGTCTCCCTAGTCACTTACTTTCAGTTTTCTTTAGAAGTCACGATTCAAGACAACTGAGCTGTGCAGTATCAGTCCCCTGCTAGCCTGGCTGTGCTGAACCCACTGACATGAGGCATGAAAACTAGGCCTGTCTAGGCCACTCACTATTCACAACCTGGAGGCCTGTCCCGCACAAAGAAAGCACTGTTCTTCATTTGAGTGACCTTTTTACCTCAAGAAGCTAAACATTTCCTCAGATAAGCTAATACCCCCACTTTCTAGCCAAGAAGAGCTGTAAAGTTTGCACTCATGCAGACTACGTGCTTCTAGTCACATTCCCCGTACCTTGGGCCATCCTACTTCCTAGCTCTGTGAAAAGCCCCCGAGTCCTATCCTGGGGGCAAGCGGACTTGGAGCTCAGCCGCCCCCCGCCCCCCCCCCCCCCCCCCCCCCCCCCCCCCCCCCGTGAATTTACTCTTACACGGTTTTCGGTGGCTGGGATACTGGACAGTGAAGGAAACAGCCTGGCAGTCAGTAGCAAGCTCTCTGTTTGTTGAGTATCTACCACCCACTATTCTAGAACATTCCAGCCTGTGCTGCTGAAAACACCAAGATGCAGCAAGGGAGATGGGAATGAGGCTGCCCGAAGAGGGTAGGGACTGCCCGAGGCAGCACAGCAGAACCTGGAGGATTCTAGGCTGGCTGGGCCCCAGAGCCACAGCCCCACAGCCCCACAGTAGACCAAGGCCACCGAGTCATGCAGCCCAGAAATGATTTCACCTTGAAGCATTAAAAACATTACTTTAAAAAAGACAGCTTTTGGTGTGGCTCAAAGCAAAACCCTGTGCAGAAGGTGTGGAGTGTAGACAGCTTTGGGGTTAGAGTTGGTTCGCTTGGTAAAGCGCTGGTTTTGCAAATACGAGGATTGAGTTTGGTCTCTGGCACCCACATAAAAACAGCCGAGTTTGGTGGCATGCGTCTGGAACCCTGGCTTTGGGAAGGCAGAGACAGGCAAATCCCTGGGGCTTGCTGGCCAGCCAGCCTCGCTGATTAGTGAGCTCCAAGTTCCAGAAAGAGACTATCTCAATAAACAAGGTGGATGACTCCCGAGGAAGGGCATCTGAAGTAATACTCTGGCCTCCACTCACACACACAAACACACACACTCTCTCTCTCTCTCTCTCTCTCTCTCTCTCTCTCTCTCTCTCTCTCTCTCTCTCTCTCTCTCTCACATGCATACACACTCTTTCTTATACTCTTTCTCTCTCTCACACACACATACATACACACTCTCACACACATACATACACACTTGCACACTCTCACATACCCACTCTTTCTCACACACACACATACACACTACACTCTCTCACACACACAGTCTCTCACACACATACATACATACACTCACATACACACACTCTCACACACACACACATTCTCTCTCTCTCTCTCTCTCTCTCTCTCTCTCTCTCATGCATGCACACACATGTGATAACTTTTGAGGTTGTACATGGTGATACAATGCCTGTAATCTCAGTACTTGAGAGACTGGGGTAAGAGAAACATGAGGTCAAGTCTGACCTGGGCTGCGGAGTGAGATCCTGTCTCAAAAAAAATCAAAACAAACTACAACAAAATATAAGCAAACCAATGCCCGGAACCCAAGTCAGAACAAAAGATACCTTTGGAAAATGATGACTCAAATTGTCTCCACCTCAAAACGAGGCCATATTTTAGGACTCAGGGTGTGCCAGGCTGGTCCGTGCAACACCACCTAGAGAAAAAAAACCACCAGAAAGCAGCCAGAAGTCACATCCAGCCTGGTGGCCTGGGAACAACTCATGTCAGGCCAGGGTCCTGGGTGTTTAGCAGACATGGTCCCTGCACCCAGGAGGCCCACATGAACCAGATGTGGGATCAGTTTTGCCATGTGGTATGTGGCCACTCAGCCCCAGGGGACCAACCCAGGCCTCCAGGAGGATGGGCCCAGGAAATCTGAGGGCAGAAAGATGAATCCTCCCGCCTCAGCCTTGAGGGAGTAGAGCAGAAATCCAGGTGCCTTGCTGTGCAAGGGTGGCCTGCTGAGTCCTCTGGGGCTCCCAGTGTTCCATTTCAGGCCTGTGAGCCATCAGACCCTGCTGTACGTGCCCCACTGACTGAGAGAAGAA